GCAGATCCTCGCCCACCCCGCGTTGGCACCAGGCGCCTCTGCGCAGGGCATCCATCCCCTCCTCCCGCCTCCTCAACCCCTTCTCTAGCCATTCCTCCCTTCTCCCACGGTGGGGTCTCCATCCTGCCACACAATGCCAGGCAGGATCTTCCCTCTTCCCCCCCAAGTCCTCAGGTCCCCTTCCCCAGGCATCCTTCATCCTCCTCTCCCGTCCTGGCAGTCTGTCCCTCCAGCCTGGGCGCAGAGCGCATCCCGGGGCTCCGGCAGATGCTTGGAGGAGGAAGAAGTGTTATTTCCTCCCAGACATCAAAGTCCTTGCACTGATTCGCCCTAGCTGGAGACCTGTCACCAGCTGGGGACATTCCTTTCGCTGCGAAAGGGCATTAGTGTAACAAAGGATCCCCTAGGGATTACCCAGCTCCTTCCTCTCCGTTTGACACAAAATAGGAGACAAAAATCGCAGCCCTGCAGTAACAGCAGGATTTTGCTGAGATCCTCCTTCCCCATTTTGGTTCAGCCCAGATCCCCTCGCCTCGGTGTGCTGAGGGCAGATCCCGAATCCTGCCTCCTGCCCCCCCAGCTCTCATTCCGGTGTGCCCAGGGCCAGATGGCTGAGTCGCTCCCTGGCTCTGCATTCCGTCCCAGCTGACCACTTTGCTTGTAATAGTCCTCGGAGGGGAATTACAACCGAGTATTAAATGTGTGGTTAAAGAAATCGCATTACACAGTGCGACTGTAAGGAAGATGTTTCCCTTTAATCTGTAACCCACGGAAGTTATTAGTTCAGCGAGTGGAGCGGCTGGGCACGGCATTGCCATCAGGATATACCCCACCACCTCCAGCCGAGGGACAGCTCCCCTTGCTCCCGGCGCAGTCCTTGCTTCCCTGTTCCCCATAATCTCGATGCCATTGTCGTGCTAACGTGGGGCTGTTTAACATTGCAGAAAAGAAAAGGGGAAAAAAATCACTCTCGTCGGCCGATGTGCTCCTGTGAAATAATGTTTGTGTCGTGTATCCTGTCCTGCAGGTCTATGCAATATTAGTTAGTCACCCTCCTGCTCCCAACGATCACCTAACACCAACACCTGTATCATACACAGCTGGCTTCTACAGGATCCCTGTCATTGGTCTGACAACACGCATGTCTATATATTCTGATAAGGTAACTGATGCATGTTTCTAGTCTAGTACCTCATACATGTGCTGTAAATCAAGAGTGCCCATCAGGAGGGTTAATGATGCCTACACTATCTGTGTCTGTCCATGCACCCTCTCCAGCTCAGCCCTCAGCTCCCTCTCTCTCCTGCATTCCCCAGTACGTTATTTTTTCACAGCTGCCAGTGTTGACCTACATAGTGCTGGATGATTTCTGCAGCACTGCTCTGCCAGGCTGCTGGGCTCACTGCTCTTCAGCCAAGGCAAAGGCATGAGCTGGCTCCTGCCCTGCTCACTAGTGACAGTCCTGGGGGCTCCCTGGGTGTGTGGGAGCCTGTGGAGGGGCAGGAGGATCCTATTAGAGCCTGTGCAGGAGCTCTCTGGGGCTTGAAGGTTGTTTGGTTGCATTCACTTCTCTGGGTTTATGGGATATTGGTTAGGGAGTTAATAGAATTGACTAGCAAGTTATCCTGAGGCTTCATATGACATTCAGTCTGGCCAGCAGTAAGAAAGGCAATCAGATTTCAGTGTCTCAGACCACTGCAGCATGTGGGAACATGGAGACTTCCAGGCTGGATGAGGTCCTGCTGGGGGCAATGCCCCTGCCTGGGCAATGAGGTTCTGCCCTGGCCCTCGGTTCCCAGCCCATCTGGCAAACACACTTTGTGCTCAGTGAAAGCAACAGAGGAGCTGAACAAAGCCAGGACCATCCACATGGCATTGCAGGATTTCATCCAGGCACACGAGCTCAGTGGGTGAGATTGAGCCTGTTTGAAGCACGAATCGGCCTTGGAAAATGTGAATATTCACAAATGTAAATGTTCAGTGCAAAAATAGTCACTCCACCTACATGCTAAATGAAGTCAAATTTCGGGAGGGCGGAGTAGAAGCTGCCAGAGATGCATCAGCATCACTGCTTGGCTGGAGCAGCAGCAGCAGGACTTGGCATCTCCCACCAAGTACAGCCATGGCAGGATGGTCAGCAAGCCAAGACCATGCCAATGATGATGGTGGTGGCTGGCAGGGCTGGGGACCTGCATGTCCTGGCAGGGCCCCAGTAGGCATGGTTAGATGGAAAGGGATGGTAACAAAGATGGGGAGAGGGTGGGCAGCAGGTAGGAAGTGTGCAGGGGGAATTTGCTTTGTGCTGCTGTGAGGAGATAGACCTGAAAGGAACATCACCAACAGGGACCCTGTCACAGTGCCCATGATGGCAGGGAGAGAGGACCCTGCATGCTACCAGTGCAGCTCCATCTCTGCAGGGCTGTGCTCACTGAAGCAAACTGTCCTCCTGTCCACAGCATGAACTTGTGCTGGTTTAGTGTGCTCACCCCCAGGGGCAGAGAGCTGGCCTGGCACCCTTTGCTTCTGTCAGTATTTTCCAATTTAAAACATGTTTTCTGCAAAACTGGCTCACAAATCCCACCTGGCTCACTTCAGAGCAACCCACTGCCACGGTGGTGACCCAGTGTGATGGCAGGGAGATGGTCTCTGTGGGATATTTGGAGGTGCTGAGCAGGCTGGGACTGGGGGGCCTGGCAGAGACTGGGCAGGGAGCCCATGCTGCCCACACAGGGCTTGTTGCATCTCTCCAAGCACTCCTGCCTGGCTGGCTTCATGCTCAACTTCTTGTCCACCAAGGCAGCTGGAGGACTGGGGGGCTTGGTGCTCTCTGCAGAGGTGGGAGTTTCAGGCACGAAATGGGGCAAAGATAAGGACTGGGTAGAGGAGCAAAGGGTGTTGAATGAAGGGGACAGCAAAGGTGGGAGTGGAGTGAGGGACAGAGGGGTGTGAAGTCATGGGACAGGACAGTGCAAGGCTCTGCACACCCCATGCAGGGCAGGCTGCCTGATGTGACACGGGGACGTTCAGCTGTTCCCGTTTTGGTTTCCAGTGATCAGCTTGCTTTTTAATTCAGGAAATTATATCTTTCAGCTTAGTTTCTATGGAAACAAGCTTGTAAGAGCATTTTGTATGTACGCCCCTGATTGGTTTTGAAGGCATCAGACAATTTTAGCTAAATTTCACAGGGGGTTGAAGTTGAGTTAATTATGGTCCTCTCAAGGCTAAGCTGCAGGGGGAGGAAAGGCATGGGCCTCGGCACAGACAGGTTTGCCAAGTGCATTTTGATGCTCTCAGAGCATCTCCAGTGGAGCACAGGGGTCCATGAGCTGTCTCAGTGGTCCATGAGCTGTAGCTAGTCTTTCCACAAAGATCCCTGAGGGAAGCAAGCTTTGTTGCTTTATTGTTCCCAGGATTCAACCAACTGTTTGTTCAAGGAATGGTTTTGCAGTCATCAAGCTCAGTACTCTGGCTTGGCAGCCTTTGCATTCCTTACACATGCATCTCATGAAATCATTAACTATTCCTTCACTGAGATCCTCACATCATCCAGTGCAGTCCTGCCTGTACACTGAGGGGTCTCTGGAGCCCTGGTCACCTCTGAGTGAGGGGAGAAGGGAACTGGGGGGGAGAGGGGGATCTCATGACAAACGCAGCAGAGCGGTGCCCATCACCCCGGTGCCCATCACTGTGTTGCTCATCACCACGGAGAGCCCTTCATGGAGATCTCATGGACTGAGCATACCAAAAATCCCACTGTGACCTTCCTGTGCTGGGACACAGGCTGGACTGTGCTTTAGAGCTCCTCTTCCCCATATGTCATTGGGGTGTTTATATCTCCTTTGCAGCTCAGCTGAAAAAAATGAGATGACATTGACATCTTGACATTATGAGAGATAAGAAATGACACAGAGAGTGTAAGAGCAAAGCTTGAGGAAAAATGAACAGCTCAAGAGCCAGGAAGGTCTGGTGCTGTTCATCACCACCATGTGGGCCCACACCTACATGGTGGGGGTGAAGAGACATCCTGGGTGCACAGAGGTGCTGAGCCCCATACCATACCCCCAGCAGAGAGGTATTGCAGGGGAAGATCAAGGGGGGTTTAACTGAGACCTGCTGTGCTGCAGGAAGAGTTGAAAAATGGTATTTAGATATCTTACACTTGGAGAGCCATTTCGATGTCCAGCACCTGGTCCTGGCAGTTGAAATGAGGTCACTGTCCTCCAGCCTGGGAATGGCTCTTCCCTCTGGTTTCTGGTCTCAGTGTAACCACTCCATGCCCCCTCCTGGGGGTTGCTCACTGAGAGAGTGTTTTTCTTTATTATTGGTCTCGCTAGCAACCAATGCTCAGCAGAAATGGTGTCAGTAAGGTGGGAAGCTGCATTGGAAGTGGGGAGAAAAGTGATTCCTCTTGACCAAGGTCAGGGTCAGGACTCCTTCACTGGCACCCACAAGCAAAGACAGAAGAGTTCTTCAAAGGGTCTCAGGGCAGAGCAGCTCCACCAATCCACAGTGGCCATTCCCCAGAGGCTGCTATGTCCTTCCCTCTGTGCCCTGCAGGGAAAGGCAGAGAGTGCCTTTGAGCCTGAGCTCCCCATGCCTCTGCCCCCACTAAAATCCCTCCCTGCACATGCCTGAGCTATCACAGAGCTATCTCAGCTCCCTCCCACATCCACAGCTATCACGTGGGGCCGTGGGCAGGCTACTTCCATGGAGACACTGGCCAAGGCTTCTTTTTCCTCCCCAGATGGTGAATTTTACTAAATTTACAAGGAATTTATAAATTGGGATCTCTGTCAATCTCTGAAACTGCCCAGGGAGCTTGGTTTGGGAGAGCATTGCTAGAAGGTGGACAGCCACATTTCCTTAGGTAAGGAAACAAAAGCACATTGCTTCCTTAAGCCTGTAGGAAAAATGACTCCACCAGCCATGGACCATGAGCTGGGATGAGCCTTAGGCAGGTAGAAGTAAGAAGACAGCAAACCTTTCACTCATGGACCTGTACATGGTCCTGATGGGGATGATGCCTGGTGGCCCCCCAGCCATGCCCTTACACATCCCCTATGGACACAAACTCCACCAACAGGCACCCACACACGCCCCATCCCCCAGGCATGGCATGGCCATGTGCAGACTGTGCACAGTGATTCCAGAAACCAAGCACCCCACATAGAACCCCAGACTTGTTTGGGTTGGAAGGACCTTAAAGCTCATTTCATCCCACCTCCCTGCCATGGGCAGGGACACCTTCCACCAGCCCAGGTTGCTCCAAGCCCCATCCAACCTGGACTGGAACACTCCCAGGGATGGAGCAGCCACAGCTTCTCTGGGCACCCTGTGCCAGTGCCTCAGCACCCTCACAGGGAATGTCCCGAGCCTCATACCCACGCTCACTCCTCGTGCATTTCAGCTTCAGCCCTGTGGGTTTCTGCTGAGCTTGAAGCCTGGATTCCACCCCAACCCTCATTTAACGACTATTTGCAGAAATAGAACGAAGTGAGGAAGCTCAGGGCTGAGCGTTCAGGTTTGTGTGGGCTATAGGGAGACACTGCAGAAAGTTGTTCCTCGGCTGGGGGTTGGTGTCAGCGATTCCCACGCTCACACCCAGCCCTCCTGGCAGGCAGGAGGATCACTCAGAGGAGAGCAAGTGCTGAGAATCCTGCAAAGCATCTTACAAGGCCAACTGTTGATTTTTGATGGAGTATTTTATGCTGTGTGCCTGATCCAAGGGGAGTGGGTGATGATCCATGACAGCTCTGAGTTCAAGAGCTTGGAGCATCTCATCAGGGACAGTGCAGCTGAGTGAACACGCTGTGCTGATTGTCTCACAGAGGTCTTTCTAACAGTTCTTTGCCTAAAAATGGGGTAATTAGGATGTATAAATTGCATCCACACCCTTTGCAGCACAGGCCAAGAGAGCTCTGTGCTGGGTTTCAGAGGGATTTGTCAGAGGCCTGTGGGATATCACTGTATGTGCTGGGATGCGAGTTCTAAAATCACACAAAATCAGATTCCCAGCTGCCTCTGCACATCACAAGTTGGATATGTGAACCTTTGGGGGACTCTAGTTTCATTTTCCTGCATCTTTGGGCCTAGCAGAGAAGCTCAGGAGCCACAGGTGCCCCAAAAGTCAAGCTCAGACTGTGAGTGCTCATCCTGAGCCCTTTTTGACACCACCTCCAAAAGCAAATTGGCCTGAACTGTTAATCCAAGTTACTCCTCAACAACTTTGTTCATCTGAACCAAGTGTTATGTATTTGCTATATTTAAGAAAGCCATTATCAGGTTAAACCACATTTTTGCAAGACAGTTGGGAAACTAGAAAATAATTTGATGCAATAGACTGAAATGTCCAAGATTTTCCATTTCCAAAAGAATTTTGTTAGAATTTTGATATTTTTTTTTTTAGCCTGTGTTTTTCTGATTTTTCTCTGGTTTAATTTGTTTTCAGCTCTTTCTTCTGATTTTTTTTCCATTTCCATTTTCCCTGGATTTCCCTAAAGCAATTAAAAATGTTCAGGAGTTAAAGATTAAAAATGCTCAGATCTATCTTGTGTGCCCCAGCTGGTCCTGGAAATTCTTGGGCATCTCTGCCGACTCCAAAGAGATCCTGAACACCATGCTGCTGTGGACACCTCGTTGTCCTTCCACTGTTTGTCTCTATGGGGCTCTTCCCAATCCCATGCTTAGTGCTGGGATTGGTAACCCCAGATTAATGCTGGTTTGTGGGGTGAGCTGTGTTTCTCCTGCTCTTCCTGTAACTGGGAATGTTTGTGAGTCACACAGAACTGCAGCTCTGACATGCTCTTTGCTGCTCCCCTGGGCCTCTCCTTCCTTTGATTAAACATCTGCAGCTCTTCTCAGTGGCTTAGGAATTAGGAAATGTTTCCAATGCTTTGGTGGTTTTGCTGCTGCCTTCATTGCTCCTATGTTTTGGGCCAGGGCAGGAGCAGGACCTGTCCTCCCTGTGCAGGGAGCCCTGACCGTGACAGAGGTTTTTCACTATTTTCTATACATTTGAAGGTTTGATTTGACATTATCACTGTATTGAGGGTGAGGAAAAAGCTTTATGTGATGTGTTTGTTCTTCCTGTGTGGGTCCATGGGGGACACGATGCCTTTTCCCTTCCAGATGAATTACTTTGGCCCATTTTGGCTGAGGTCTGGACAAGCTCTGTTTGGTCCAGAGAACCATATGAGCCTAAAAAAGAAGAAGCATTATGTTGCTTTCCTTTTTGTCCTCCTTGTTCAGCCTTCTGCCTCACTCCAGCACATAGCTGGGTTGCCATGTAGGGTCCATGCTGAGCCTGAGCACTTTCACTTTCTACTATTTGACTCTAGGGCCTTTTGGAAGAGCTGCATTTGTTTGAAAGCTCTCTGTCAGCTACAATTTGGTCCAATTGCTCCCCTAAGAGTGCTGTACTTAATTAGGCTGGAATGACTATTGCTCAAGCATCCAACCATAACAATGTCTTTAACCAAATGGGCTAGGTTAGCTGGGGCAGGAGCCCAGAGCTGCCTCCTCCTGTGTGCTGCTGCAGAACAGCCTGACCTAGAAACAGCCACTACGTTATAAAACTGCTTCTGAACTTCTCTCCTGACAAATAACTAATATATTTCTGCCTGTACCTGCTTCTTGTCACTCTCTGAAGGGAATTTGTTTTCTTTTTGATGTCCATTGCTAGCAATGATTCCAAAAGGGCAAGAGGTAAGGCTATATTTGCACTGAACACTGCTGGATGTCCCTGGCTCGATAGGCTTTTGGTCACCATGAATTTAGGGACCACAAAGTAAGAAAACCCTCTTTGCCATGCTCTGGATTAACCACAGAGAGGTACAAAGCCATAGCTAGGGTTTGCTTCTCAGCCAGAAGGAACGAGTGCAGGTCCCAGTATCCAGGGTTTGCTTCTCAGCCAGAAGGAAGGAAGGAGTGTAGGTCCCAGAGGCTAGTCAAGGTGTGCAACCCAGAGGTTACCCAAAATGGCTTTGTGATCCCAGCCCTGTCCCTGCAAACCTGGCTGACAGCCACACAGACTATGTTGAGCTCTTGTTCTTCCTTGCAGAGCATCCACCTGTCCTTTTTGCGCACTGTCCCACCATACTCTCACCAGGCCAACGTCTGGTTTGAGATGATGAGAGTCTTCAACTGGAATCACGTCATTCTGATAGTCAGCGACGACCACGAAGGTCGTGCTGCCCAAAAGAAGCTGGAGACCCTCTTGGAGGAGAAAGAATCCAAGGTCAGTTCCTGAACGTTGTCTTGTAGCTTTGTTTAAGCAACAACAACAAAACTAGAAGTCTCGGGCTGTTGTATGTATGTAGATTTCTGTATGTAAAACACCTTTTCTTTCCATTGTAACATGGCTAACATGCTTAAAGCATCAACAGTGTCTGACTAGTACCTGACAGAACTTTGTACTTTATTCATTTCACTTGCTTTGCCATGGTCAAAATCTCCTACATGTAAATCGACTACAAAATGAAGGGAAGGATAACCTGGAGCTCTGCAAATGCCTCGCCCAAGATTCCCACCTAAGGAGAGGACCAGGCACTCAGCTTAGGGAAGCACCTGCCCCACCACAGCCACCCTGGGGCCAGGCAGACCCAGCAGTGCCCAACCAACCCTGACAAGCAGCTTCTGAATTGGCTAACTGGAGCTCACCTTAGTGGCTTAGGAGGGGCAGGGCAGCCGGGGCGTTGCTGCACGGAGGTGTAATGCACCCTCTCTATAAAGCTGGGGCTCTGCGGCTGCAGGCTGGTGCCCCGTTCCCATCTCCATCGAAGCACATGCCAAACGCTGCTTTCCTGACACCCCATGCTGTCACAAGAGGGCGGTTGTGGCTGGCGGGAGCGGGCTGGCGGGAGCGGCTTTATCGAGGAGGTGCACTGCACCTGCACTCGGGGCGGGCAGGGAGCAGGGAGGGAGGCAGGGGAGGTCCCCGAGCCTGCTAGACGTGCAGGAGGACAAGCAAGACCTGAGGCGTGGAGAGAAAGGACTGAGCAAGCCTTCAAAAGAAGCAGCGAAGAAGAACATAGGAAGCCGTCCCAGCTGCAATCTGGAAGGCAAGGAAACACCTCCTGCCCTGTGGGGTGAAGTCACAGCACGTCCTCTTGCCTGGGGATCTGCTTCAGATGGGCAGAGTCTGAGCCCATCCAAGCCTCCAGCAGCATCAGGGCAGGCACCCACTGGGGGCTGTTCCCTCCTGGGTCACAGGCAGGGACCTCCACCTGCTCTTCTCCAGCCCCACCAGCACTGCTGGACCTTTGGCAATGGGTCAGCTGTTGAGATGTGGTCGTAGACACTTCTTGTGCTTGGAGTTGTTGGCTGAGCTGAGAGACCAGAGTGCGCAGGCTCTGTCTGCTCTTCACCTCCCTGGAGGAACAGCTGCTGCAGGGGTGTGGGCTGGCACCAACAGACTTCTGGTTTTGGTGGTGATTTCCAAGAAGTTTCATCCTTGCTGCATCCCAAACCATCACAAGACTGATGTGCCACCAGCCATGGTGAGATACTCCTGCCTCCAAAGGCAGTTTCCACCTGGGTGACAGCAGGACAGTATTTCTCTGTCCTCTTCCCAACACAGTGTCCCTTCAACAAGGAGAGCCATTGTCAGTATTTCATCCCTTTTCTTGCATCTTTTGATTTCCACTTTCTTTCTTCCTGCAGTTCCTCTGCTGCACCCCCTCATGCCTCCACTCCCTGCTTGCTCCATGTAATGCTCCCAGGAACAGGATGTGTTTCTTCTTCAGCCTGTCCATCCCATGGGAAAGCCTTTGAGATCTGAGGCTTGAAAGATGGGGAGGGAGGGTCTGTCCTCAGACCTGCTCCTCACTGCACTGCATCTATGATGTGTCTTGGTGTCTCCTAGCAGCCACTGGGCTGCTGCAGATGCCCTGGACACCCTCCAGCCTGAGGCACCTGCTCTGTGGTGGTAGGTCACCTTGTATTTCCTTCAGGGTGTGCCACTGCATCTTGTTTCTTTTTCCATTAAGAAAAGGGTCAGACAGACTGGCCTGACTGGTCTAGAAAGTGGTAGATATCCTGTTGGGGCTTTCCTGACTTCCTCAATCTCTTCTGCTAATTTCTCTTCTGATCACTGATGTGTTGACTCTCTTTGTGGTGTGAAGTGGCACCATGGGCCTCTCCCCAGTGTCCCCAAGGGCAGCCTGGGCCCTGGGGAGGGAGCAGGCAGGAGCCCTGATCTCAACCTCTGCAAGGCTTGGATCACAGCCCCTGAGGATGTGGGGGAACTGCTCTGGGTCAGAGGCTCACCTGCCCCACCTGAGCTCTTGGATTGGAGCACAGCTTTGTCCCCCAGAGTCTGCACCAGCCCTGGGTGTCACTCAGGCACTGCTGTGTGGGTTGGCACCTCCAGCAGGCACTCTGAGCTCAGTGCTTGGGCCTTGCTGGCCAGCCCTGGCACACCCTGTGTTGACTTTGTCTTAGGTCTGTCTGCAGTAACTCGCTCTGGAGCTACTGCTTTATTCCAGTACAACTGTGCTTGTTCTTCTGGGCAGGCCACCAGTGCTGCTTGGGTTCAGGAGGTAGTGATGGTTGCTGTGAAATCAGTTTGTCTGAGGTGGCAGGTCCCCGGTGTGCTGGGTCCCTTTGTCTGGGCCAGTGTTGTTCATGAAAGTGGCAATTTTTGGAGTGAATGCTGGAGAACATGGTGGAAAGGGAACTTTTCAATTGTGGGTCCCTGTGTGAAACATGGATGAGGAGCAGGGAAGGGCTACAGGACCACACGAAAAAATGGGAAAGAAAGGAGACATTGCTGGTCTAGTTCTGGCAGTAAGGATTTTGACAGGGAGAGGTGATCAGGTGCCATCAGGTCCAGCTTTGCTGCACCCAAGACTCTGCTGACCAGCCTGGGTCAAGGTGCCAGCACATCCCGGGCACACAAGGTGTTTCATGGCTGGAGGCTGCAAGATGGATGACCAAGTTTTTGGCTACATGGCAGTGCCTGAGAAGAAATGACCAGTGTCCCATCACTGGAGAACACTCACACTGTCCTGTTGCATCTCTGTTCTCCTGGAGACAGTTGTTACTCCAGGTCTTACTGCTATCTGAGCAGACTTAAAGAAGCCACTGCAGAAATCCTTGCTGTGGATGTCATCAGAAGTGAAGGCAGCCCTGGGCTCCAAGCAGATTTTGACTCCTCAGATACTTTTCCTTGCAAGGACCTAACTTCTCTGAGCAATGAAAAAGCTGTCAGGCTGCATCCAAGGAGAAGAAAGAAAAGATCTGCATGGAAAGGAGACTTGAAAAAATGTCCTGCCAAGGACTGGCCTGAGTGCTCAGGAAAAGGCAAGCTCTTTAGTTTGGAAAGCAAGATGCAGAGATAAAGCCTGGCTGGCTAAGGAACAACCTGGGAACATGAACCCAAAGGGTCAGGTTCCTGGCAGGGATCAGTTGCCATTGCCATAAGATTCTGGAAAAATGGAGATCAGAATAGACCTGTGTCCCATACCCCATATACACAAGTCAGGGATACTTCACTGGGGTGGGGTGGGCTCAAGAAGAAGAGGTCAGACTCTGTCCCACCAAAACCTGCCAAGCCCTCTCCTGAAGGCACTGTCAGGTTGATGTTATTGGCCTGACCACAGGGGCTGCTCCCAGGAAGATCCACGTGGCTCTGTGCACGCTGCTGCAGGCTCAGAGCTCCTGATAGCAGAGGCAGTTGGCCCTCAGGACATTGCTTGGAGGAGAGAAAACCTCCAGAAGTAGTTTCATGACCCTGGCTCCTTTGGGGCCAAGCAGCAGGAGTGTCTGAGGCAGGAGACAAGGGGAGGAGCAGGCTCTCTGCTCCAGTCCGTTATCTCCAGGGTCAGCACACGCTGAGCCTCCTGCCCCGAGTCCCAGTGTGATCAGCAGCATGGACACCATCAAGCAGTGAGCCCCTCTAGCCACACTTAGGGCACACAGGTTATGGGCACCTCCCAGGGCCACCTGTGTGCTGCAGAGCCATGAGGTGTCCTTGGCCCTCCCCAGGCACCAGGTAAAAGCTGCAATGTCATCCCATGATCACCATTGCTTCATATCGCCACGCTTTGAGCCAACCTGGGACGTAGAGAACTTTTTCTCTTTTGGATGTCAACAGAGCTCCAAAAAGCTGCTCCCTCCTTTCAGGGGGTGAGAGGTTCAGCTGAGACACCTCACTTGCTGTGAACTCTCTGAGGGTGAACAGGATTGTAATGCTAATAGTGACTCTAGTGACTCTGAACTGTACCAATTTGCCTTGATCCAGCCCTTGCCGTACACAACATATTGTCCTTTACTTCCACAGTAATCCCATGGAAAATCCCACCACTTAGGCCCTTAGAGGTGCATAGATTGTTTCTGAGCTTAAGCTATAAATTTCTTGCCGAAGAACTCCCCAGTCCCACAAGGGAAAATGCAACTGCATCGCACCAGCTGTGACACTCAGGCTTGCTCTAATATGGCCTTGCACCGTGACCTCCCGTGAGAGCTGAGGCACTCTCTCTCCTGCTAGTGGTTTTTGCGAGCTCCAGCGTTATAGAGACCCTTTAGCAAACAGTGGAGGAGGAGGTGGATGTTGGATTGCTTTACTACACGTCATTTTCAACTGTTTATAATATTCTTCTGTGTCTACATATTTTCTCTGTGCACATTATTCATCAGAGTAAAAAAAGGAACTATGAAAACCTCGACCAACTTTCCTATGACAACAAGCGAGGACCCAAGGTATATATGCATGGAAATGCACGCCGCCCACCAACCTAACTAGCCAATGAAAAAATAGCCACAGCCACCAGAAAAATAAATAAAAATAAAGAAAAAAAAATAAAGAGAAAGAGAAAAAAATCAAAGAAAAGAAAGAAAAAAATAAACCCATGACTATGTTTCTTGGTAGCACGTTTTTATGTTGAGATAGTTTGGTTTGGACTTGAGAATGGAAACTTAGCCAGCTGACCCTGGAAGGATTTCTTTTTGAGACATGCATGTGAACCAGTAATTAACTTGCAAGTTGTTTTTTTTTTGTTGTTTTTTTGGAAAAGTTGAACCAACCCCCTTTCCTCCCCAAAGGAAACGGTTCCTTGGTGTAAGTTGCTCACTTTGACTCCCAAAGGTTAACCCTGTGCAATCTGTTTTTTTTTTTCATTTCCCATGTTTTTGAAAAACAACACTCGTTTGAGTTTTCAATTGCATTCCAAAGCCTTTTTCTCTTTCCTGTACAATGCACGCCTCTTTTTTGGGTCTTGATTGACTTCAGTTTGCATGCACAGTGCAAAAAAAAAATACATAAAAAAAAAATAAAACAACCAAAAAAGCCAAAACTTTAAAAGAGAAAGGAAGGAAGGAAAGAAAGAAAGAAAAGAAAGAAAGGAAAGAAAAAAGAAAGCAATAACTATAACCAACCTTATTTAGCAGCCTTTTGTGCAGTTTAATGAATTCTCTTGACCCTTTTCTAGATAGCATGGCTCTCACCAGCAGTGCTGGGGCTCCCACACTAACCAGCTTTGCTCACACTAATCACAGGCTGAGAAAGTGCTTCAGTTTGACCCTGGAACCAAAAATGTGACATCGCTGCTGCTGGAGGCCAAGGAGCTGGAGGCTCGAGTCATCATCCTCTCTGCCAGGTAAGGCAGTGCCACCCTTCTCCTCCCTGCTCTGTTTTCCCCACTCTCCCCTTTCCAACACTGCTCAGTGCTGGAGTCAGGGTGGATTTGTTATATTGCAAGCCAATAAAACAAGAGGTAATGGGCAGAAATTGATGCCCAGAAAGTTCCACTTGAATACAAGGAAGAACATTTTCCTGTGCAGTGACCAAGCACTGAACAGATTGTCCAGAGATGCTGTGGATTTTCCCTCACTGGAGATATTCCAGAAACATCTGGACACAATCCTGTGCCATGTGCTCTGGGATGGCCCTACTTGAGCAGGGAGGTAGGACCAGATGACCCACTGTGGTACCTTCCAACCTGACCCATCTTGTGATTCTGTGATTCTGGATTTGGAGTTCATCATCCTTCCAAGGAGTGTGAGAGGAACCCTACGCACAGCCCCATGTCCTGGGCTGATGTTGGGTGCTGGGCTGTGCTGGGTGTGCTGCTGGCCAGGGCACTGGCAATCATGAGTGTGGTTGAGATGTCTGGCTGTCCTGCATGGTGTTAGCAGCTGCAGAAGCAGCTGTTGTTACTGATGGTAACTAAGATAAAGATGATAACTAAGATGGTAACCTAAGATACTGATGGTATCCTGGTCCAGCTGTGCAGGAGGAGAGTCTCACTGCCCCCATGCCTGTAGCATAAAGACTGGGCCAGATGTTCAGTGCTGCGTGCTGTGGGATTAGATGAAGCTGAGAGAAGGTTCCTATTGCATCAAGGAACGATCCATTACCAGGAGAACCAGTTATCAGAGCAGGGCTACTGGGGTTGTGTCTTCCCTGGAGCTGCCACCCCCCTGGGACCTGATCCAGGACGAAAGGGGCCATCCAGCACCTGAAGCCACATTGCCATTCCCTTCTTCTCGTTGCAGTGAGGATGATGCAGCCATGGTGTACAGAGCAGCAGCCATGCTCAATATGACAGGCTCCGGCTACGTGTGGCTGGTGGGGGAACGGGAGATATCGGGCAATGCCCTGCGTTACGCCCCTGATGGTAGGCAACCACTGCAGGCACCTGTGCTGCCAGCCAGGCTTGGAGGAGCCTGCATGGAGCTGGGATGAGCGGCCCCTGCCCTCCTGGGGACCCTGGGACTGGGGGAATATGATGCTGTGATGATCCCAAGTATGTGGAGCGTCCCACATGTTGCTTAACATGGGGAGTCAGCAGTCCAGCAGCCTTGGCTATGCTGCCATGCCCTAAATCCATGTCACTGTAAGCTGACTGTCACCTGGGGGACAATGGGGATGGAGCACAGGGTATCAGCGGTCCATGTAGCTGTCCCCAGACCCCTCTGGCAGGCAGGATGGTACCATCCCAGCACCACTGCCCCTGTCTGCCCCTGCCTGAAGCTCAGGCTACTCCCCACTGCATCCAAGTGCTCCTCAGCCCATAGCCACATGCTTGCTGGTCCCCAAGCCCTGTGCATGGGAGTAATGCTGGAGCAGCCAGCAAGCCCAGAGGTGCTGACCTGCCTCCTCCCTCTCCTCATGGCAGGAGTGATCGGTTTGCAGCTCATCAACGGGAAGAACGAGTCAGCCCACATCAGTGATGCTGTTGCAGTGGTGGCCCAGGCTGTGCATGACTTGTTTGAGAAGGAGAATATCACAGACCCACCACGGGGCTGCGTGGGCAACACCAACATCTGGAAGACAGGACCCCTTTTCAAGAGGTATTTGGGAAAGGGTCCTGCTGGAAGGAGCAGAGGACCTGCGGGGGGAGAGCTGGAAAAGGTGGGAGCATGTGGAAAAGGTGCAGGAGGACATGGTAGTATCTCTCACTAAAGCTTTGGGGCATGTGGCACGAGGCTGCCTGGACTCTCCTGCATGATTTGGATGTGAGGGCTACATCTCTCCTAGAAAACTATTCCAGACCTGGCTCAAGCAATGGCACCCAATTTTTCCAGGCTCTTTAGGCATCACCTTGGTGCCTGACACCAAATTCAGCCTATGCCTACCCATGCTACCCGGGGCAATGCTTGGACAGCTGGGCTGTGTGGGCAGGGGATGACTCCAGGAGGAAAAGGTCTAGGGGATCCTCCAGTCTGGATCTTAATTCAGTGGCTGGAAGTGGGAGAGAGAGGGTTTCCTGCCAAATCAAGGTAGGGAGATATTTCTGTCACATTGGATCTTGGTGCTGTGGACATGTTTCCTGCTAAAATTCCAAGGGCTGTGGCATGGGTCAGTGTGCTGCAAGCAGGGCTTGGTGGCTAGAGATCTCCATGCATGGGACAGGCTGCTCTTGGCAGTAACAATTACTGGTGCTGTGGATTTGGGTAGCAAAGTGGCAAAGGTAGATGAGAGCATGTGTGTGTTGGGTCTTGCTGCCATGGGCAGTGCGATGGCAGATGCTGCATGTGCTTCCCAGAGCCCAATCTTTGCGTGCATCACTGTGGATGCTGGAGCCACAAGGCCTCTCCTGCAGGCTGGGTCTTGGTACAGCAGCAATTCCCTGCAAACCTGGGTTGTGATGAGCATGGGACATGCAAAGCCTGAAGACTGGTTTAGAAATGTTTCTGGCATCCTCTGCAGTGACACATTCCTTGGCATGAGCTAGTCAAAGCTGTTCTCCACAAGAGGCTCATGCAATCCTTTTGTGTCTTCATTCTCATCTTTCCAGGGTTTGGGAGCTGGTTATCCCCTTGGTGGTGTATGTTCATGCCTGGGGCACTACCCAGGCTCTGATGCGTTGGTGCCAGACAGAAGCACCAGGAATGGTGGCATGGACACAGCTCCCAAGGGACACTCAGAAGAAGGTGCCCTTGGATGCTGTGGGACAGATCACTCCTTAAGGGAATGGGATTGATCTGGTGGAAAACAAAGGGCAATAACAGCAGATATGGTAATGAACATTCAGAAAACACTCCATCCACCAGGAGGGGATGACCACAGGTCTATGAACAGACCACAGGTAGCCTTGGCTGGACTTCTCTAGGGTAGTGTGCATATAGCAGGCAACTGAGAGAAAATTTGCCTTTCTGATGCCTTCTCAGGTGTCCCAATGGTACAGCAGGTTTTCTAGGTTGTCCTTGCTGTGTTTCTCCCTATAGGGTGTTGATGTCCTCCAAGTATTCAGAGGGTGTCACGGGCCGGGTGGAGTTCAATGAGGATGGGGACAGGAAGTTTGCCAACTACAGCATCATGAACCTGCAGAATCGGAAACTGGTCCAAGTTGGGATTTACAACGGCAGCAATGTATGTACATGCCTGGTCTGGGTAGGAGGAGTGTGTGCCCTGGGGTGTCTGCCTATGGCCTCATGTCTACCTGCTTCCTCTGGGATTGATCACAGGTCTTGACCAATGACCGGAAGATTATCTGGCCAGGGGGAGAAACAGAGAAACCTCAAGGCTATCAGATGTCAACCAAGTTGAAGGTAACAGCAAATGGCATTAGGTGGAAGGTGTCCTCAGCTCTTTGCATGCCAGACTGTGACTTTATCTGCCTTCCACTTCTACTGCTGCCTCTGCAGCTCAGCAGCATTTGCAAACCTAGAGCACCTGCCATCTCAGAGGGGATATAGCAGAGCAACTCAGAGAAGGTACTGGAGGGTGTTCAGAGTGCAACTTCCAGGTGGAGTCAAGCTAGATAGGGGTCAGCATCCTTAGGTTTGGAAAGGGACAGATGGGAAGAGGATATGAGTGAAAACAGCAGAGAAAGGATGGAGGAGCAAGGTGTTCACCATTCCTCATGGCTTGGGAGCCAGAGGGTTTGCAGAAAATACAAGGATGGACTCCTTTGGCCAAGGCATGGTTCAGCTGTGGGGCCTGCTGCTGCTGGGCAGTGCAGAGGCCACAGGGAAACAGGTTCTAAAGGGAGATTAAACAACCTGGTGGCAGCTGCAAGCCTGGGCTCAGGAAATCACTGAGGAGCTTGTGGCCAGAAGCTGGAGGTGACAGTGGGAGAAGGTCCCTCCAGTCTTGCTTTGCTTCTCATGCTCTTCCCTTAAGTGTCACCCATCAACCACTTTAGTGGTGGGATCCTGGGCAGGCTGGGCTTACCATTCATTTTTCCTACTGTCCAGGCAAAGGAAATCACACATTACTGCTGGCAGTGAGCCTTTGAACCTGTAGAGGTCGTGCTGGTGCATTGGGATGCGCACAACTGAAAAGCTCTGGGAAGGACTGAAATATCTGCATTAACCTGGGACTGCACCAGTGTCTAGAGCCCCTTTCTGGGCACTAATCCTGGCTGTGAGGTGGTTCCCATCAGCTTGCCACAAGGGAGAGGGACTTTGAGGCTCAGGTGAAGGAGGATGCTGATATGGCTGTTCTTCATTCTGGGTGCAGAGAAAGCAAATGTTCTTAGTGGTGGCCTTGGCAGTGTTGGGTTAACAGCTGGATTTCATGATCTTAAAGGCCTTTTCTGACTTAAATGGTTCTGTGATTCCCCATGCCAAATCTAGGTCCTCCTGCTGGGCTGAGCAATCTCGTGCTGAGTTGGCATCTGGGAGGGCACCATGGCATTTTGGACATGGTTGCATGGAGAGGGCAGCCCAGCACCTCACCAGGGGAGTGTAGCTCTGGAGTAAGACAGAGACAAGAAAGTGTTTGTGCTTTGCCTCACAGATCGTGACGATCCACCAAGAGCCCTTTGTGTATGTGAAGCCCACACAGGCAGATGGGACCTGCAGGGAGGAATTCACCATCAATGGAGATCCTGTGAAAAAAGTCTTCTGCACTGGACCCAATGAGACTATCCCAGGTAACTCAGTCTGGTGGTGACACCCCCAGCCCACCCAGCTGATGAAGACTCCCATCCCAAGAAGGGGTCCCAGGGAAGGTGCTCAGTCACACAGGAGGCTCAGAGGATAGGGAACAGAAAGGTGACAGCACACTCAGCCCCCAAATCTCCTCATCAGCTCAGCCCCACAGTAGAGCTGTGCAGTAATTGAGCACTGGGATCCAGGTTTTTGATGCCAACAGATTACATTCCCACTGTATCTCTTCTGGATGGGCTCCAGGGCTGGTCTGGGGGGGTTGTATCCCATGTTTCTGTCTCCTGACATGCTCCAATTCTCTTTCCTTTGATCTCAAGCAGAAGTGAGAATCCCAATACACTTTAGGACCTGTTGCACTGATATTAACATCAACAGTTTCAAAGTGTTACAGAAAACCTGTGTCAGGATCAGGACTGATCACCTGGGAAAGGTGCAGAGTGAGCTGCTCAGCAATGCCAGGCTTGCCCAAATCCACACAAAGAGCATCCACCTGGCTCATCACACTTTCCTGTGCACAGCATCCCCCAGCCCCGATTTGTGTCCTGGGCTGTGTTCAACCTGCTGGGTACACATCATGTCCTAACTCTTGGTTAGGAACTGCAGTGACAGGACAAGAAGGAATGGGGAGAAATTCAAAGAGAAAAATTTAGATGAGATCTCAGGAAGACGTTTTTGCTGTGAGGGTGGTGAGACACTGTCCCAGGTTGCCCAGGGAGGCTGTGGCTGCCCCAACCCTGGCAGTGTTCACAGCCAGGTTGGATGAGCCTTGAGCAACCTGCTCTGGTGGGAGGTGTCCCTGCCCAGGGCAGGGGGTTGGGGCTGGATGAGCTCTAAGCTCCATTCCAACCCCTTAACATTCTTTCTACACAGCCTCCACACACTAAGCCCCTCCTCTTCCCTGCAGTGGATGGATAGCACCAACTCTCAGCCCACCTCAGTGGGACGTAGCAATGAACAAGACCCCTTTGCACCCCATTTTCCAGCCCCCACAGTGGGAGATGATGGTCAAGGCAGATGGCCTTGATGGAGAATGTGGTTACACCTCATATAGAATGACAGCCTTGAGGTGGCTTCTCTCACTGGGGACAGGCCCAGATCCTGGATGGGATTCCCTAGCAGAGGGACTCTCCACTCATTCCCCCATTTCCTCCCACCCCAGGCCGTCCCACCGTGGCACTGTGCTGCTACGGCTTCTGCATTGACCTGCTCATCCGGCTGGCAGGGGTGATGAACTTCACTTACGAGGTTCACCTGGTGGCTGATGGTAAATTTGGTACTCAAGAGAGGGTGAGTTTGCACAGCGTGCGATATCACTTTGTGTATTGAAACAGCTCCAAGCCCTTGTGGGGACCCGGGGTGGGGTGGGAGGGCAGGGCAGGTGCCTGCCATGTGTGGGGGTCCTGGCTGGTGGGGGACATGCATCAGGGCAAGGGTCTGATCATGCCTTGACTCTCTGGCAGGTGAACAACAGCAACAAGAAGGAGTGGAATGGGATGATGGGGGAGTTGCTGAGTGGCCAAGCAGACATGATTGTGGCTCCCCTCACGATCAACAACGAGCGAGCTCAGTACATTGAGTTCTCCAAGCCCTTCAAGTACCAGGGCCTCACCATCCTCGTGAAGAAGGTATGGGCTGTGGTGGGATGTTTGTAGAACAGGGGAGGTCCTCAGATTGCAGAGATATGCCATGCCCACACCATCCCAGCTCCCCCAGCTGCTGTCCCTGCCCACTCCAGGGCAGCTGGTTTTAGTGCTGGGTCTTGTCTCCACCACCTTGACCCTTCCTGTGTAGCCAAGCAGGAGGAGCTATGAGCAGGACAGGGGCCCTTGTGAGTCTAGCCAGGAGGGCAGGGTGCAGGGGTGATGGGTGCCAGCGCTGTTCACCTCTCTCCTGTGTGCTAGGAAATCCCTCGCAGCACCTTGGACTCGTTCATGCAGCCCTTTCAGAGCACTCTCTGGCTGCTGGTGGGGCTATCTGTGCACGTGGTGGCAGTGATGTTGTACCTCTTAGACCGATTCAGGTGAGTGCACTTTGGGTCACCGAAGACCTGTCCCCTGAGTCGCCAAAATGTCTTGCTCAGGCACAGCCCTGCAGCCCTTTAAGGGGTTCTCACAGGAGTTAAACCATCTTCTCAGCCCCACCAGCCCTGGGCTGGGGCTCCTGGCCCCTCTGGCTGCCTAAGTTAAGAGATATGGATGTGTGGGGCACTCAGTACCTGGGTACATGGGAACACACCTGGTGCTGTGTAGATACCTGACCAAGGGGACCATCAGCTTCTTAGTTAACCCTCTGGCGCTTCCTTGGCCCTGTGGCAGCTCCTCTGAAGGGCAGAGAACCTGTCACCCCTCAGCCCTGTGCCCAGAGGCTTTTGTGACTAATCTGCAGTGAGCTCTCTGTGTTGCAGTGGGAGAGGCTAGAGCTGGCCAAGATCAGATATCTTTATGGTCTGGAGACAAGTGTGATGGGGCTGGTACCAGTGTGAGCTGGGCTGGGTTGCAGTTCAGCAGAAGGAACATGCAAGGCAGTAGGACAGGATGGGGAAGAGCTGTGTGGGACACAGGCACAGTCTGTAGGGATGGGTGATGCAGGGCTGCACAAGGACTCTTAGGGCCCAGTGGAGAGCCCTGGAAACCCTAAGGGATATGAGAAGAGTTCTCGGTCTTGTTTTCCAGCCCGTTTGGCCGGTTCAAAGTAAATAGTGAGGAGGAGGAGGAAGATGCCCTGACCCTCTCCTCAGCCATGTGGTTCTCCTGGGGAGTC